TAGGAGAATATTATATATGTATATATATATATATATATATATAAAATAGCAGAACCAGTCGTTGCTGCAGGATTAACAATGCTATTGGCGCTGCACCTCCACTTTTGAGGAATAATGGAATTATTCTTGAGGCTTGATAAGGCAATTTTTTTCGTCAAATACTCTCATTGATAACTTGCTAGCGAGACTCACTGTTTAGAGGAACGGAAGTGACAGATTTATCAATGTGGTGGGCAAGAATGCACAACTTACGTCCATTGAAAGAAACCGAATTGATAAGGGTGTGGCCCCAGAACATCTTTGTGTCAGCTCAGGAATCCTCCACAGCAAGTAGATAGCATTGGACAGCCCCTACTCAACATTTCATGAAAATATGACTCGCAGAATAAGGTTGACTTAATTGTCGTTTAGTTGAATATGGATACAATTCAGGGATCAGTATGTCACAGCGAGTTGGGGTAACTAACCGTTTTAATATTTAGCAGAGTGGCATCACCTACCCAAAAAATCGCGGAATCATTTTTTTGGACAACGATAGTGCTGATATCATCATACAGCTGGGATTCGTGTTTATTCCGTGCTATGATACCAGACGCCTCTTTGAGTTTGCTTATCTGAGACAGAAAAGTACTAATGACACAAAATGTGTCCAGCAGGACTTTGGTGAATCCCTTTCTGAAAATTACTTGTAAGCTTTACGATTTCCCTCATCACCATCGGCTTATCCGTAACATAATTTTCCACTCGTCGCCGAGTGACATAGGTTACCGGATTGCAGAATTCTGGCGATCTCCAACACGTCTCGTTCATCTATTTGGTAGATAAGATGGCACTGTCGACTCTGAAATCCAAATAAAAATTAGTCTGGGTATACGTTATCTCACCTTATGAAGTGCTTGTTCGCTGTGACTTTTTAAGTAAGATTTACTCCCTCCGTCTATTTTTCCTGCCTTTTTTACTGGAAGTTCTGGGAAACCCGTTTTTTTCAGTTAACTTTTTCTCCGTGTTTACAAACCTCGTTAACACTTGCCTGTCCACATTCAAGCTCTTTACTTCCTAAGCGTAACACTTGCCTCCTGAATCGTCACTGTGTTTTATGATACAATTCGGTACGTTGTAGCTAATACCTGTCTGAGATTATTCTTATATCCACCTGCAACTAATCTCCAAAGGCACCAGGAAAGTTAGTTTTTCTTCATCAATGCAATGCTGCTTTTACATTCCGATAGATGTAATTCGTGGCACATCGCGAAACAAGATGAATGTCTGGCGTACTGTCAATCATTGCACGAGGTTCTATATGTTGTATTTCGTGACCACGTGAAGTATTCAGAGGATGCCATACGAAAAAAATAAGTTAGCCAACCGGATTGTCACACCTTTCAACAACGTTCTGCAAAATGTGCTTCAAAGAGTTTCAGAGCTGTAACCCTCACCTGGTGTGTTTGTCTTGTTACCAATGCCGGGGATAACCTAAGACTTCCTGCTGCTGCGCTGCATACCTTTCTCATCTACACGACGCAGCCGGCCCGGTATGTAAGATTTGAAATGAATACAACAGGTGAAAATGTGGTTTACGGATTTAGGGTACAAGGCGATGAACTTATTACTCAGTAGCTAACAAAGCGACCAGCGTGAATTCTCACGTTTTCTATCCAAGACAAGTATCTGGTACTTTATTGGGATAACTGCTAATTAATAGAATTCTTTGTGTGTAGACGTTTGCTTTATCATTCGGTTCTAGTTTTTTTCAAGTTATCGTGAAAGTGCAACCGTTTGCTGCTCCAGGGTCGACCTCCAGGACAATGAGTGGAACCCTTTAGTGGTATGTCTGTTATTACCGACTGTGAATTTTTTTAAATTAGAAAAAAGAAGGATTGTACAATCTCCTCACCACTGGACATTCCCCTAGATAAAAACAAACCCTGAGGTATACCCGAAAACATACTACGTGCTCCAGTGAAATTCTACTGTTGCAGTTACCCGAGTGGAAGTAGCATGACCTTCTGATTGCACGTCTCTTGGCGGATGACAGGAAAAAGATTCTCCTAAAACAGCAACTTCTTAAGTTATTATGTGACTTTATTTACTGTAACCTTTTTCTGGCTCTCTCTGGTGCCCCGCTTTGAAGAATCTCTGAAGGAAAATGTGACAGTTAAAAACAGGTACAATCTAATTTTTGAAACCGGTTTGGAGTGCGAAAATAATTTATCATGTGTTTCAGGTTTCATAGTACTATTTTTAATGTTCCTAATTTTACACTTCGTATTCTTCTCATGTTAAAGAATTGCTACATTCCCAGAGAGTTCTGCTACGTCTGTGGTCGGGCTATCGAAGGAGACGAGCCAGTTCATGCATTGGTTGGCGTGTTTCACAGGAAATGTTTCCGATGCCATAAATGCCAGCGATTTCTCACGTGAGTTTGGCGAAAGCTTCAAGCCAAAATTGCGGTATTTCAATAGCTTATGGGTTCCAGAAGGCACTCATAATTGATAGACCGTTTTTACTGATCGCCTGGCTAAATAAACCACTGCCATTTGGAGACATTATAGCATTTTTTATCAATGATCTCGTTAGAAACGATGTGAATTTACGGAAGTCTTAAAATATCTCCATAGGGATTTTTAATGGCTCGTATTTTTAGCAGGTTGTTTTAAAGGACATTATATTTCCGGTATGGAATTTTGCGACCATTCATACCATCAAAATTTACCACATACCGTGCATTTAATCTTACCAGGACCAGTTGCCTCAGGAACTTTAACGATTTATTTGTGAAACATTCGGAACGTCTTAAGTTGAACTAACATCCGATGAAACCTTATTTATTTGAATTCTGAGCCGTCAAAAATTTATCCACAGGTTAATGCTGGCCAGCAAGCTTTCGGGAAAATAGTTATTACAGCAAAGAGCCCGAATAGCGGGGAGAATTAGATACTAATTTTATCATACAAGGTAAAAATTTTTCTCTCTGCGTAGTAAGGTACTACTTGCTAAACCAGTTCAATGTAGACAGGAAACTCAAGTGATTGCTTTACATCAACTCAGTTTGAGTATTGCCTTCTAGCTTTAAAGGCACAATATTCCTTATATTTTAAATAACTTTTTAGGCCAAACACTTTGAATCTACTTCAGGATTCCGCAATTTGCCAGCAGTGTCTGAGACTTCTTGACCACATGTATGACCGCACCGTAACGTTGTCCACACACTCAGATATGTGTTTCACAGCCAAACCTTTCTCTTCTTTCTGTGAATCGTTTCGATTTTAGATTAGACAACTGCACCGTTGTCAACAGAAAGTTACACTGCGATCCATTTTGTGAAGCCGCGACCCAACTCCCAACCAGTTTGGTTTACACTGTCCCGAGAAAAAGTTAGTACATTTGCGTCCAGTGGATATGTGGCTCCCGTGGAAATTTCTTGGACCTTTTGTGGTATAGTATCAATAAGTATGTTCTAAACAATGCTCATATGGATCTCACACACAGTATTTGCAGTTGACGCAATTGTTTGAAAAGTGTAGAAGCAGTGAGCTAGTGGAACTTAAGAAAACCCCCTGAGCGAGCGTTTATAATGTTGATACCCGAGTACAAAGCTCAGTAGCCAGACAAGTTCAGAAGTCGCAAATCCTAATACGCAAGAAATACAGCGAAGAAAGTTCATCCCATACGAGCATTTGACAGTAAGTATGTTGGATCTGCAAAGCAACCTTAATAAAATGCATAATTTGTGGAGCTGAGTATTCGGATGTTTGGGATACATGATTACCAAGGCAAACAATTAGCCACCCACGAATAGTAAAATGAATAAAACAAGTTAAGAATTTCAAGTTTTATAGAAAAAATAGTCCAATCGACAGGTTTAAAATTTTTGGCGGATTTTCAAAACAGTAGCATGTAATATTGACGAATACCACAAAATGAGAGTACGTTCGTTTTTGCTTGATTTCGTAAAATACGTTAACAAATGAAGAGGCCTTCTTCACATCTACGTGTACAATTAGGACACGATCACTGACAAAACAATTTTTGCCGAATTGGGCATAACTATCGACTGAGTGCGACATCATCTGTTTCGTTTTCTCCCCTTTGCAATGTCAGTGGAGCACGGAAGCATCCATGAGCTAACTCGCTCACCGCTAAGGGATTACAGAACTGAAAAGACAGTGAGTTGCGTTTATCACATTATCCATTCTACAATATTGCGATTCCTGAAATCCGAAGACCGTTGAAAATTGTAAAAGGTATTAATCCTTGTTTTACCTCCCTATTTGGGTAATTTTGCTACTGCGTTTGTAGTGATGATAATCACACAGTGAATGAAGCCAAATGTCCCGCATATATAGGCGGTTTTCCCTCCTAAACTCATAAGTTACGTTCAGAGCCACTGTGCAATTCATAATTGCTAGACGGAAACAAACTCTTCGAGCAACAACTTCTCGAGGAGCCAGTCCACTCGTGTGTCAGCAAAGATTGGCTTCACTTACAAGACGAAACAAACTCTGCTGACAGCACCACATTAAGTATCTGTAATGTGTGCTCCCGAGTTAGATCAAATTTCACTAGATATTGAGAAGGTCAGTCCAGTGACATCTGCTGCTCTGGCCACAACTACCACATTCATCGGTAACGTTTGTTACTTTCTCACATTATGAATTATTTTCTGATGAACAAGCATATCAACTAGTCGTACGAATTTTACGAATCTCACCAATACGCTAATAAATATGACGCACAATGATCACAAAAATTTGCGAACATCCAAAATTGGATGGCACCGCGCAAGCCCTCCATTCATTCCACATATATCTTGGTCTTCCGTAATTGATGGACCAATCCAATCCTCAGTTGATGGGCTTCTATGGTTAGTCATGGCTTGTTCGATGCTGAAATACCAGAACGATCACTACGACGCGTGAGTTCTGAGCATGGGGCATTCGGTAGTTTGTATGAATACAGGGGAGGAGTGATCACGAGAAACCACTAGATTTTCCGAATTTCAGGTCCCATTATCAAGGCACCGTTTTATCGCTGCAGAAGATGAGCACTGGAAATCAGAACAACCTTCCGAAGAACCACGCGTCCTACCCCGTCGATCACCTGTGAGTTTTGTTTATTCGTAAGTTTTCCGTGAGTTTGGCTTCAAGATTAATGGGAAATGCTCCTAACCGGTAACAGTAATCACATGAAATAAAGACAAAGAAAACCAGGTATTGGGTAAATTAGGTGGTTAGGACCACTGGATAAAAATTGTGAACCGGTTCTTATCCATTAATTTTGTCGACAGTGTCACCATTCCGGAACTAAGTAGGTGAAGTTCCTAATGCACCATTCATAAGGTGCTGAAAATTCGTCGACAGCCCATGACCGGTTTTGCCCTTCTTGGGACTCATCAGGTAGGCGCAGTCCCCGAGTTTCCGTCAAACTTATGTTCTGCTTGAAACCGAACTGCACGAAATTAGTGAAATGCGCTCATTTGCAAACTAATTTGGTTTTTCCAGAGACTCACCTGGAACCTAGCTGAATCTCCCGTTCGTGACGTTTCCAGGCAGCCGAATGTGCTGCACCAGGCCGAGAGATTCAGCTTGGTCCCAGGTAAGTCTCTCACAAAACCAAATTAGTTTGCAAATGAGTGTATTTCGCTAGGTTAAATTCAGTTCATCCAAATGTATTAGTCAAGCTTGCAGAAACCGGGAACAAAACACAATGGAAAGAATCTAGACGTGATGCGCAAGATGCCGTCTTTCTATTTAGCCTCCCAGCATTAGTGTTTTGTACCATCTTCATAACAAAAATGCAGTCTCTACTCACTAAGTAATTTGTTCTGTATCATTTATTCCTAAGCTGACACAAAATGAAACACATTCAAATGAATTAAACCCATTTTCACGCTCTACTATTCCGGGGTGAGATAATATTCGGTTGTTTTGATTGAAACCACAAAAATTGTGACATGGGAATCCTAATACCGATAGAATGCGAGGAAACAACAAGTAAAATTTCCTTCAACCACTGACCCTCTGCTTATTGCAGAAGTGCTCTGCCATCTGAGCCTGAGGTACTAAGGACCCACTTGTGCACCCTCTCTTCGTATGTGAGGCCCCACATTCCTTGTTGTTTTGAATACTTCTTAACAAAACCCCTCTTGAATGTGGACAAACTCATGGTGTAGACTGTTTTAGATGTTAATCAGATGGTTCACTCGGTGGGTCAGCAGAAAATATTTTTCGGTTCTTTAAGCAGAGATTCGTCAAGGCACATGCGAAGTTTACGGCAGAAATAGAAGAGTAACATGAGATCCAGTAAAATTTGGTGATGTAGTGCTTTTACTGTAAGGAAACAAAAATGAACATCTAGTTGCTTGTGCACTGGAAACTATTGGACCGGTACTGAAAAAAACTGAGTCTGTCTCCACAGTTGCATGGTATCGTTGCCGATGTATCAAGCTAGAAAATGGGAACACCACAAATAACGGGACTGATTATCACTTCTATTGACCATGCTGTATTGGAGGCCAATCCACATATTCCCATTGACTTCTGAATGGCAAATGCAAACAGTTGTTACTTTTATGAATAGAACATAGAATCACAAGGATGTTTTGAGGTGTGGTCACAGTGAGAAGCACAATACACTCTTGAGCACAGGAGATTTTAATTTTGTTCATAGCCACACCACTCGTTTGAACGGCCGTGTTCCTGTTCCGGCGTAATTAGTCCGCTGAGTTCACACCAAAGGGAAGCACTGGACTCGAGTTTCGCTCTTATGAGTGCTCATCAGCAGTGCATATCCAATGGCCGTAGAGGGATTTGAACCCCGGGCATCTGACATGCGAGGTGAGCGTGTAAGCACCACCCCACCAACGCACGTTGGACGCATCTGAATTATCACGTCTGAACAGGCAACGTGTTCACAATTGAGCGATGTGATTGGTGTGTCCGACTCATCGAACGACGACCCAGTAACTGCCCTGGTTGTGACGATCGATTGACTATGTGTGGCTATGAACAGAATCTTGCAAAACCCCAAAATTGCAACATTTTAATCTGTCTGTCACAAACATACACGTCTGTATACTAGGTTGTGGAGTAGTTAGCTCGATTCTCAATAGGTAGAATTTATGGAGAAAATATCCAGTAAGTCATCACACTTGTTTGTGTGTAAAGGTGTACCAAGGCTCCGTTATATTCTAACGGGAAAGTTCATTTTCTTTATGAACAAAAGATAGAACCTACAACGTAGCGATATCGCTAGTTCTCATTGGAATTAAAAAGTGAATGTAAAGGTTCTTTTAAGTTACCATCAATCCGGTTTACACAGTCATCCTCAGTGGTAGCCAACGGCTGATTTGGACAGCCGGTGAATTAAAATTGCTTTGCTCATCCAAGAAATAGTTCATTGAAGACGCCTTTGGCGATAAAGTGCCTTTTGGAGCACCACAGACATTTACAATGGTCTGTGTTGGCTTCTGCAAAATTGTACACGCTTACTTTTGACTGAACGAGGCTTTAGATAAGAAAATTCAATGTGCAGTAAACTGAGTTGAACGTTACTGCTGCCTGTGTCTGGAAAACAGAGCGCTGATCTTCACATTTCATCTCTGAAATCTGAACGCAATGTGTAAACTTCCTTCTTAAAATTCCAAAGCGCTATATTTCTCACTGGACCTAAGGAAGACAAACATGTGTGTGAATGCCATATTTTGGGTGCGCAGATTTCGCAGTGGTACTAATTTAGTTCTTTCAGGATGGTGGTAACACACATGGCAAGCAAGACCGTGTGAGTCCCCAGAAGTTGAAAATATAAGAGCCTAAAGTCACCAACAAGACAGTGCTAGTTGTTTCAGTTCGATGACCATGTTGCTGTTAAATCTTGCGTCAGTCGGGTAGTATTTGCTCTTGTTCTGATGAGTGCTGCAGAGTGAGAGAATCCAGTGTGAGAAGCTCGTTGAAATTTGATCGACACGATTCAGTAGCATGATACGTTTGTTGACCGTGGGAAATGTCCTCGGTGGATAGCAGAACTATTTTTTTTCAAGACGTTTGAATTATTGGGTTTAAGAAATTGCCGTATATTCTGTGATGCTGCTGGGAGTCATCATTATTTCCTTGCGTCACTCTTAGCATAGCCGAGTGTAAAATATTTGTGCCCAAAACTGAAAGCGTTATTGAACATGTACCGTGAGTTAGTTTGAATAAAACTTAGTTCGGTTCCAAAATACAAAATGATCAGGACCTATATGACCTATATATTGCCTAGATAATTTGTCAAGACTCTTTAGATACAGCTGTATATCTTAAGGCTATTTACGCATACTTATTGCATTCAATATTGCACACTAATGACTTAGGATCGCCTTAAAATTTGCTCACGAGAGAATTTCCAAAAACAAAGCCTTATCCGCACTCTCGAAAAGTTATCAATGGTTTACCAATGAGATTATATATATATATATATATATATATATATATATATATAGACGCTTCCTCCAAGTTTCAGTCTCGTTCTTGGACTAAATGTGTTGATTGACAGTAAGCGCTCCCACGTAATATTTTTAGTGCTTCCAGGCCGTCCTGGAATACATATACCTCTTGCTCACTCCTGCAAAGCCTTTCTAATATCCTAGCGCAGTTATCCATACCCAGAAAAAAGGGAACCTTTTTCCAGTTGCGCTGTTGCTAGAGCTAAGTGTGCATGTCCTTCGCCCTTTCAGCATTTGAGCTCTGGGCATCTCACATATGAGGCGAGCATCTTACCACAGCTCCGACCGCAATAGTTCCGTCAGGAAATGATGAAAGCCTAAGAGGGTGCGGGTATAATGACAGCAGATTAAGTCATATCTTAAGCCTAATTTTTCCTTCAATCTGACTTTATTCAGAGCTATCCTTCCGTAATCGATTTTAGTTGTTATCATTTTATTTCGCATCCTATTTGATGGCACGCAAAGATAATAATGTTTAGGTCATTAGGCAGAGAAATGGCTAATTAGCTGTAAATTTTAGATGCACAGATGCGGGGGAACACAAGCTCGTTCAGTATATTTGTGTATAAATGTCGTTAGAGTCTAAGTCAATGTATTCCTTACACATAGAAGCCAGCATAAGGGTTGGCTTTCTTCCTGTCAATAAAACAAAAAATCGTGCTTTTCATTGATAGTTATATTAACTGCGGGCTGCACTGGAGTTTAGTTTATTTGAGCACTAAATTTTTATTGAGTGAATTCACATCTCTGTTTTATCAGAAAAGTTTGATAATAAAGTTTGCTCGAAATAGTTGTTGAGTCTGCGTACTTTTCACACAAAATCTTCCAGTCAATTGTCCATGATCTGAACATAATCATGTTACTAATAAGGAAAAACGATTGAAGAATTTCTTCATCGCTTGGTGTGTAAATGAGCCTCAATCTAACAATGCCCTAGCAAGATACACAAGAGAGTTTTTTTCGTTATTTCTCTTGCAGATCTTCAGTGAAAATGTGTGCGGGGCTTGCGGAACGACCACGTTCAACACAGACAACGTAGTGGTAAACATGGTAGCCTATCACCGACCTTGCTTCAGGTGCCGTTTTTGCAACCGGATGTTAGAGTGAGTTTTGCCTGGACAGTTATTCGCGCTATTTTGCATGCTTATGTGACCAACTAATTTTCAGAATTCAGTTACACGTGAATGCACTATTTTTCAAGCATTTAAGTGGTCATATTGTCCCTCTGGTGTTTGTGATGGAAAGAATACACAAGGAAACGGTTTTCAGCTACCTTTCCCAAACATGCGCACTTGCACCATCTGAAAGCACGTTTCTAATGAGTGGAGTATTTTCTGAAAGTGCTAATGATTCACGTGTAAAATCTCATCAGAGATGCAAGAAAATCACCTGTTTTATGCTTTGATCCAGTTTCAACGTGAACCTTATTTCGTTAACTATTGTGTTTTGGTTGCTTTGTTAACTGCTTTACATTGAGGTAAGGCAGAAAAATCTGGGATAATAAAGAACCCACACGAGATTAGAGAGGATGAGTACCCCACCGCTCGTCTACTCATATCTCAAAAATACGTGAGGAGTCCAAAATAAGTATAAACGTGTGGTAAAAAATTTCAGTCGAATGTTTTTTGAAATGCTACTGACAAAATGCAAAGGAGAACTCTTGCAAACCGTGCAGAGGTTCGGGGGTTACAAGCTTTTTACGAGAAAATAACTTGCTTATTAAACCTTGAGGCGGCCTAAACTGTTACATATATTCAAAGTTAGGTAATGTCACAGGAAATTGCAAGTTGTGAGGTAAGTGAGTTCGACGATGTTGCTGTCGCCTCTAACGCGAAAAATATAGGAGGACTTCAACCATTGCCTATCAACATTTCTCCTCACTAGTCTCCCCAAACTCTGATAAGCATACGACTCTAGTGCGATCGAATACTCATCAAAAAGCTCAGCAGTGGTGGGGTGTACTTATAAGAAGCTATCACGCAAGTGATAAATCCCTTTGGTCCATATTTCGCAACAAATAAGGCACTGTCGGGAGCCGTTTCACTAGGTCACTGTTTCATCACAAAAAAATCTCCACCGTGTTATACCTGGTGAAATCCACCTACTGCGGTCGCCAGGGTAACACATGTGACTTTGCTTGGATCCCTTCGTCAGCACTAGTCTTAGATACCCATATTGTCAGTCAGTGGAAAGATACTAATGAAATTTAGAATAACCGTGAGTGAAACGAGAGCTTTATGTTAACGAACTGAGTAAAACTTATTTGGCGTTATTATTGAGCCTCTCCATTTTTACCAATTTTTTTTACATAAACCTCTCCTGCTAGGCCGGAACGATACAACATTATCGATGGTGAACCTTGCTGTCAACCAAACTGCGAGAAGTACCATCCAGATTATCGTGAGTTGTTATATGATCAGGCGTGATAATTTTCCGGATAGCTCAGATGATGCTTGATACTTGCATGTGAATGTAAGCCCCGTCTATCTTCTCGTTGACACAACCCAGAAGTGTCACCACATCAGTGTAATATGCCTCAGTATACTGTCACCACAGCGTTTAAAACGCCCGTCATGGCGGAATTCTAACTGAGAGTTCATACCGTAGACAGCTTCATAATATTTACCTCACCAAAGGACTTTTGACCCAAGAAGCTGGTCGGTGAGCTGTGTGGCAGTGAGATAGAAAACTGTAATGTGTATCCTATGATTCTCTCGGATTGATCTATCGAAAAAATCGCGGCTTGCCAAATGGAACGTGATACGTACAGTTACCAGGAGACGAATTAAAATAATTGTATGTCGAAGTTTAGGGTAGTATTTGTCAGTGCAGCCTTATTGAAAGCGAACGACCCTGTACCTGACTGTACTTGATTCTGACAACGTTTTGGTGAACGCAAGACTAGATTGTTACAGTTGCTTGTAGTATTGAGTGATTTCGTAAGCCCATGTAGCGATTTTTCAACGGGAGTGACAAATGTATTGTGATACAGGACAGATAAGGTGGACCTTGATGGTGGCATTTGCGAATTCTTAGTCTAGCTGGAGTTCTTCCTTTTTGGGTTGCATAAAGTGTATGAATTTACACTAGCTTTCCTAAACAGCAGAACAAACAATGTGAGGCATGCGAATTAAAGGTTTCAGTTAAAACATTCAGTACACTGACTTGTCTGCCAGTAAGCAAGTAACTAATTGGCTGAGTGTAATCCCAATTTATTTCGATTATACCAGTGTAGTATTTGAACTATTCAAACACGTCGGTCTTGGTCTCATACTCTCCCGGAGAACCCAGATATGATATCCTTAAAAAGCGTTTTGTTTGATGGGACTTTACATAACGAGATAGATCATATTTTACTAGAACCTCGATCGCATGAATCCACATAATAAGACCAAATCAGACACGTCAACTAAAAAGCCCTCTATTTTAATATGTATTTCTTCTGCAAAAACAAGCTTTTGGTTATAAGAAGCCAAAAGTTACAGGACAAATTGATCGCCTTTCTTGTGCGACTGGAACAAAATAATTTTGATGCTATCCAAAAATACTTCTCGCGGTAACAATATGGTGGACCAGACCGCCAATTCAGCACGCTTTATTGATTTCGGTTATCCTTGTATCAATACTTTAGCCTTCACTCTGCAGTTTTGCACGGTGTATCTGTCTTCATTTCTTTGCAGTGGCCCGGTCTTATGTTCGACCAGCGTTCCACTTTCAAACAAGCGCACCGCGTCCAAACCACATTTCGTTCGTTAAGGCAAACCCAGCTGTAAGTCTCTGTGAAAATAATCTTCCATCTTTCCTTCCTCATTTTTGGGCAGGTAAAACAACGGCATGTCGAAGGAGATGTGCATTGTACTCTTAACTCACCAAACGTTCCTGTATAGGTGCGGGTTCATCTACCCAAGAATCATTTCACATAGACTCAAAGCTGTGCTAAGTTTGTTCCTCAAAATCATTTGGGCCCTATCTAGTACACAGGATGCAAAACACTTGTTTCAGGTTCTGTAAAAAAGGAATAGCTTCATCTTTCTGTCACCGCCCACCGTCGAGCATTCGTCCGACCGAAGTTCACTTTGTCAGTAAAAAGTGAGCTACTTTCAGGTATTTTGCGAGTACTTCTTTGCAAACAGAATTCGCTTATTTATGTCGAGATGGAGTTTTCTTTTCTGTAGTTTCGGACACAGGTGATTTGAAGGCAGAACATATTGCTATTCAAGTTTCACTGCTTAAGTGTTCTTGTGACCAGTATTTTAGCAGAATTTTATTGCCCGAAAATGAATGCAGTTAAACGACTCGGTCACTGCAAAATATTCAGGCAGGAATGTGGAAACAATGCGGCTTAAAAATCCTCTTTATGAAGGTTTAATGTCTCTTATTCGCAAAACGGGCGTTTTCAAGTAACATATTGTGTTACCTACCAAACGTGATTTAATATTTGGCAATGCTGTGGGGGGGTAGCGCTTATTCTTGAAAATAGAAACATGATGGAGTATGTTATACTGGAATTACGGCCGAAACAACTCGCTCTTCATTTTATAGACATCCTACAAAACACCTGTGCAGGGGTCCACCGAACCCTCAATTATCCAGAATAACTTATTCCTGTACAGAGGTTCCGAAACTACCCCAACCGAGGAGCGCAAGGGCTTCGTAAGTTATCGTTTAAAACGGTATACTTTTCAGCCTGTTTTAACACTGAAAAATCAGATTGCATGGCAGTTTTTTGAAGTATTTGTATTGACAACCAATCTCCACAGCTATAAATTTGTGTTCACCAATACTTGATCTGCAGAATATAGGGATACCGAAAATAATGACGACAGTATGCAAGGTTAGCTGTCTGTACCACCTAAACATTATCCCACTTCATGCAGAAAAATGGTTATCAGAACACAACCAGGAGCACTTTTGGCGGCAGACAGAGGTTAGTTAGAAATCGCTAGTTCTCTGCAGATTAGCCACTCTCGATAGACGTATTGCTGATATTATGAGCTCTAAAATAGCTTTTTTGGTGATTGATTAAAACGACTGGCAAATTCCTTATGATTTAAACAATACACTGCAGGTTAAGTCACCATGAATCTTTGAGACGACAACCTCCTCATAAGCAAAAATAACGTAAGAAAGTTGTTTGTTACATAATCGCGAAACATGGAATATAATTTCACCGATAGCCGAAAAGTGTGAGCCTTTGATACTTCCTTTTAAACAATGGTAAAAACTGACTAAACGAAATTTAGCCTGTACGATGACTGGAAGAGGTCCGCGGGCAGGCTGAACTGATATTCTAACCCACAGTTTATGAAGCTCCTACTAAGTCCTAAGATCCGTTGAATTTTTGTAATAACCAATAATATATATGCTGTAAAACATTTGAAGCGGAATAATGTATATGATGCCTGCTCCACGTTGTGATATCTCTGTAAATCTTTCGTAATGTCCCAAACGATAGTTGATCCTTGACTGAATGAAGTACAGTTTTTGTATTGTTGTCCATCTACAGAATAGGTTTAATTTCCAAAAATCAAAGTTACCAGGGGATCCGTCAGCAATATTCTCTCTCTTCGTTCGCTACAGAGAGAAAGCTTGGGTTCGGCTGCTGAAAAGTACTGTTACTCGTGTGGAAAGCTGGTGTACGCCGCGGAGCAACTTCATGTGATGGAAAGGTATTATCATCCATCTTGCTTTCGTTGCGTCATGTGCAACCGCGTACTTGAGTGAGTCGCTGGATAGTATTCTTCCATAGAATTATTAGTCTGCATTTTGTGTAGTGTGGCTGAATTGTTCGACTCTTTGTTGGCACGAATTTCTCAGGAATTTATACAAGCCATCATGTTTCATATGGAATTATTTTCATGTGCATACTAGACAAAGATATGTGAAATGACCTATGTTTCAAGTTGGGATAATGGACCACGCCCATTATAATCCAGAAATTTCCATCCGGTTCCTGTGTAATTTTCTTCCTGTGCCGGTAAACTTCAGGGGAACATGACTGGTCGCTTTTACCATTGAAACCTTTAGGCCCTTCCGCGATATACCGGGTTCATTTTCCCTAGTTATTCTTACAATGTAAGCTAGTGTTCGACCGACTACGAAAATTACTTTGAATCGGCGTAACAAGTTTCTTGCACCGTCTCTCTTGCGCGCTTTTTCAAACCACCTTCAGCTGTTCATTTTACTGTTGGCCACTAATATCCCTTTGAATACAAGCAACGGTTAATTACATTTATTTGCAGGTCAGTTTAGTGTTAACGGAAACCACATCTGGATCCCAGCTACGTCACCTGCTTATGTTCGATGCACCTGATTGTGCTGCTCAAAAGCTGTCTTGTGTTAGCATTTGACATTTGGGATATCGCAGTTTTTTTGGTGATGAGATGCATTACGCATGTGGTTTCTGAATACTCTCCGATTACGTAGACTCAAATGAATTCCGGCAACCTGTTGTCGAACGAATTCAAAGAACCTATGTATTTCGCTATGTCAAGAAATTATTCTTCACTCTTTTGGATATTATACTGACTTAAAATGTGGCTAGCTTTGTGCAACTTCTTTAATTAATAAATGCGCTAAATAAAATAATCGGCCTGGATTAAGTTAAGTTTTCCGTTAAAATCAAATCGGATGTACCTCCTCATTTACGTACATTTTAGCACTCAAGCCGAAGATGAGAGAAACATAAAGTCGAGGACTACGTGGTGAGCTCCAAAACGGGTGGAGCCCGTAGCCGACCAGATAAGATATTTTGACGACCGTGTAACCAGCTGATCAAATGAACAAAAACCAGACGTGATTGTTTCAGAAAAGGTTGCACAGTAGCAAACCGATTCCCAACTCGACAACATAACATAAAAGCCACGTCAGATCATGTGGTATATTCATTCACTTGGACTTAACATCCTTTTTTCCAAAGCCAAAATCAGCAACAGGTTTGACAGTCGTTTCCAGATAATCATATTCTGACAAATTTTAGGCAAATTCCAAGTATCAATACAAACTTCCCAGTCCATCTTGCTTCACTAAATCCTACCTCTTGTTCTTTGTATGTTGCTGAGCTTGATTACTAAAGCTCTTCCGCCACTCATTTCTCGCAATATGCCCTGCACATCGGATATGGTAGCTTTGTGCGTAAATGAATGCACTCTATCAAACTTTGAAAGCGTTTCTTTCCCTAATGCTCGTTTCTTAATGTTATCAACGCGAACTGAGATTGACCTGGTGGTCGCATCTGACAACCCGCTTCACGTTCCACATGCGAATATTCATCAATGCAGAATTGAAGGTTCTTGTTGCAGTCACATTCAGACAATTTTGGTTGGTCTTCCGAAAAAACCAAATGTTCTAAATACCTTTATCATCTTGAATACAGATTCACTCACCGATGTTCTTTAACTAAACACTTCGCATAAAGGCTTAGTTATAGAATTGCTGCCTGTACGTAGTACGGCTTAGACTATGAAGTGGCCGAGTGTATATACCAACAGGTCATTTTTGTGTGTTAGGTTTAAGGTGCCTTGTAGTAGCGGCAGTTACAGTTGATCTAGCAGGGAATGGATCCCAAAACCTCACTGCTAATCGCGTTGCGAATACACCGGACATTGGCACTTTGGGGTAGTTTGAATAAGAATCGTAATGGAGGTTGCAGGTTCCAGCTTAAAGAATAAATACCATTATGGCCTTCGAAGTAGAAGAGTGACTGACCATTACGTTAAATTTCACTATTTGTTTCTACTGAAGTAGTTTCTACTGCGGTATCCTGGTTGTCTAACTAAGTACGACTAAAAGAGCTGACGTCGCACGAAGGCACTTGCCACAGGATTTGATTAATTTATTTCGTCGAACACAAGTTGTTTCGGCTTGTTCACTTTTCTGCTGCGTTACACCCGCACTTCCAGAAATCTCTTTGAAGACACCGTCAGTTAACCGCACTAGTCTAGTTGCTCGTTGGGGACATAAAACTCAGGTTAACAACCATGTTCTTACTCAGTCTTTAATCTCTCTTCATCATTTAACCTCCCAGCATTGTGCGCTATAATTCGCACGAAGGCCGCCCATATTGCTTGCCACATCACCGACATGTGAGATGTAACCGAAGTAAGTATTCCTTGACTAAATGAAAACTCCGTGTTACTCTTTCACTAAAATTATTGCACTTGTGAATTCATTATACGAACCCCTCTATGACGATCAATTACTGCAAATACCACTCAAATTTATATTCGAAAATGTTTCAGGGGAAATTTTTATTTTGACGCATGGAATTTAATTCCATGCTCTCAACAATTTTCGTGGCTAGTGATTAGAATCAAGCTAATGCGTCCCAGCTAACTTGGCCATCGCTGACTATCTGAAACACCACAGAAGATATATTCAGCAAGCCTGTGAAACGAGACATTGCGTCTCATGGTATATAGTTGTGGCCACAGCGTTTTCATTAGCGTCATTTAACAAAGTGATACGCGCAAATGAAACAGCAATGGTCATTATTTCTCAAGGTTTGCATCCAGTTATTTCCGAACAAGGATTTTTTTGTACACTTTCTGAAATAAGAGGATGCGCCATGGGCTCTTTGAGGGCAAAATGTCTTTAGACTGGACCTACCAACTAAAAGGGCACGTCTTGCTGTACAGACGGGAATTAGTTTGAAACACATTGGGCCTGGTTTATTTAAACCGGATATGTTTTCGAAGATGTTGCAATAATCTGCACTTCTTTGTGACCTCGATCGATATGTGTCCCTGAGAGGACTGTTTAGGCTAGCAATTGTCCTACTGAATGTATTGGGTAGGTGTTGACTTGGATTTTCCAAAAGTTTTCATTGAATAATTCCGAATGAAGCTAATAGAATGTTTTTTATTGATGTATGAGCAGTAGGAGTGAAGGAATGGAGCATGAAAAAGCGTTATATAAAAAACGTTTTATGAGACAGATTTCCGCAACATCTGTTCTCATCTAATTGCAACGCAAACATTTCACAAGAATTCACCCATAGCTGAATTTGAAGGAATGTTAACTTGACATGAATGTATTTCCACTGGATGAAACAAATGGGAAACCTACACCAATTTTTGTTTTTTCTTCATAAACTTCAGTATGAATAACGTCATTTTTGCTTCAAATGACACACGATGACCACTGCTATTCCATTCGTCTGTAGGGAAATGATTTACTGAACCGTCTGAGAAGGGTTTTTCACAGCGTAATACGTTAAGCATATTATACTGTCGGTTAAAGAGTTGGGTTTTGGTATGCAACTTTACCAATATTCATAGGTAATTCCAGGGTTTTTCTCAAAATCTAACAATAATCATTAAAGATGACAGGAAACCAAGACTCTGGTAGACAGGACTGATACAAATTACAAAGATAAGTAGCGCGAAATTATTTTTCATTCCACAACTTGTAGTTACGTGTGTGTAGATTTCCCGCTGTACGTAAGAACTGCAGTACTAAACATTCCGGTGTATCACAGCCTTTCTAATCATTCTGTCGTGCCTGAGTATTTATAAAGCTGGATTAATCGTTGTAAATACGGGACTTTTGAATCCATGCATTGTAGAAGGTGGCCACGATGACAGTACTCCCAACTAAAACTGTTGAATACAAAATGCTAATTCCGTTACCTGATAAATATATATTATACATAATATAATAATAATATAATAATATAATATGGTATTTACAAGAATACGGTAATCTTTGGAAAGATTTCCCCTTAAAAGCATCCGCCTGCATCGCGTCAGCAACGGGGGCTCCCAACCATTTTTCCTTACCAGTTTCCACTTTATCGGACTCACTCCCAAATGATTAAAAGACGTGAGCTTAGAAGAACATAGCTGTTCCCAATAATCAGTCTTCACCCCCCCCCACATTCTCAACACGTTTGAGTGAGAACAATTTACGGCAATCTTAGACAATATTGTTGCAGCTCATTGATAAGATTTATTTCCCCAGTATGAGAGCATTCAACTTTGGTCATGGACATGAAACGTTACAATAAACCTGATAAAACTCGCCGGTCTCTATATCAGTGGTTGGCTTCCTAAAATCTTTGTCTGCTTTGTTTAGGTTAAGCTGTTGCCTTTGTTAAATTGACTAAGATCTTGTCTTTTTCAAGGTGGTTATGGTTCTGTCTAAATTGTCCTCTCAGAATAAAACTGGATTGCACTTCTCCTCTGACCGACAGCCTGTTGATCATCACAGTTGAATGCTGATAGCCAAAGTAATGAAAGCTACAGAGCGAATTATTTGGCTGGAGTATATGTGAATAACCCCGCAAGAGGCATGCGATACAAAGGCTACATTCGTATATTGGCAGGTCGACCGTGAGATGTTTCGTTTGAAAGCTATAAAAATGCATTTATAACACTGAGTCATTGTGTTTCTGAACCGAGTAGTTGCACGATGTAATCAGTTTCGATTATTACTAATTTAAGGCAGTTCAACTGGAAGCTTGAGGCATTCCGATTCTGAATTGGATAAATCTAATGTTCCTGAGAATCCACCGTGTGTTGCTGAGACACCCGTAAGTTATACATAACCGTATTTCACACCATCATTGTCAGTGCCTCTGCTGCAAAGCCGCTTCTCACCGTAGGCCTGAATTTACACACCTGTTACTCATGTGACCACTCAATCATGCAAGACTATTTTGTTTTTCCATCAAACGCGCTGGTGTTTCGGAGTGTCATCACATCATTCCAAATCAACGGAGAACCAATCGGGTTGCTCGTTTAACAAATAAGCACAAGTTTAACGTTTACCTGCAGTATATCTACTTTAACAAATAACACCCTCAACATTATTGGAAACACATCCGTAGCATTTAGTTGTTGTTGCTGTTGATCATTACCATGGTCCGTGAAAGACAAATCTACCATCTGACACCTTATCCGCAGCCCATTACCGACCACGTTATTGTACGAACTCGGACGGCACAATCTCCTCCACCACCGCTTGTAACATACAGAGAGTATGCCAAAAGATATGTGGTAAGTTTTGTTTGTCGTTTATCAACCTTGCAAAAAGTGTCAGAGTTAGCCGTAAACAGCAAAGTAAATTAAATTGTCGACAATGACAGAACCCTAGCTTTGCGTAAACATATTAGAAAGTGACTGTGACGTTTTACTTGCTAACCGACTCAAAATGTTTACTGCAAACACGGTGTCGGCCGAATGCGCCAACTGTTTTTATCGTAGCAAGGGATTTTCATTTTGAATTGCTGAGCATTTTCAAGTGATACATACAACGATATTCTTCTACTGTTTTGACATGACGTCTCTACTGAAACGTTGTTAACATTTCACAAAGGAATAGAATCAAAGGAACGTTTCAAGTTAAAATACGTAGTATTGCAAGATAACTTATATTTTCGGAATCCTTATCCTGACGGTTTGCCACTGATATTGGTCAGTTGCGTGATACATATTCAGAGTTACTGTTTTCCTTGCAAAAGACTTCGTTACTGTTGAGAGTCAAGCCTAGTATTCTTGAACGTCAAGAATTATTGATGGTGATTTCTCGTTACCAATACTCCTCAACGGAACCCATCTCTTCCAACTGCCTGTGGTATTCACGATAATTTGTCGCAGTGCATCACAAAAATTGCCCACTCAAGTGATTTCTAAACGTTTAAGGGCAAACTGTTCGTTTACCTTCGTCACAAATATTTTATGAAATGGTAAACATATGTTTCAGCCAACTTCACAACAGTGCGTTACACTGGATCTGATCTTCATCAATCTGTCTCCACTGTGAATAATTCGGAAACATCTGTAACATTGTCGTTATGAGCGGTTATTAAAATGTTTCGAAATAAAACTGTCTAATAACGATTTGTTCAACGTTTCATGCCACACTCTGCCTGGTGTATTTTAGGGTGAACAACCCATTCACGTGGAAATGAGCTATTCGCGTCCAACAGAAAGTACACGTCAGGTAATCTGAAGAAGTCCGTTGCCACTTTTTCGACGTAATTCAGTCTGGCTATTTGTTATCTGTATTATACTATCAACAAATTATTGAGTTCACCTCCGTCTTTGCAAACAGATTATCCGAATAAGTATGGAAAAATGACATTGAAAACAGATTTTATGGTGCAATTTTAAGAGTTTTCCAACCTCATTCTCTAAGCTGTACTTCTCTTACTATTAAAAATTTTTAATTTTATTATGAATAACGCCTCCCCGAACCAAATTAGCAACAAACAGTTATTATATTTTGTAGTAATATTATTGCTTTCTTAATTTAGTAGATTTTTTTACCTGTGAAACAACATTCTCTTTTAGCTCGTGGACTGAGAGGTTGTCCAACATTCTCTGTGTGGCTACTGATCTCACTTTAAACTTCTCCTTCCAGGTAAAATCACAACCAGCCTCACCAAGATTACTGCGGAGCCCACGAAGCGTCACAGTTGAACCGAGGGAATTGCCTATTGGTGTTACTCACGTAAGCGATAACGTTTGTGTCGAATAAGAAGATTTATTTCAATTCACAGGCAAACTTGGATAATTTTCTGTCCGAATACCCAAACAAATTGGGTGGTTTAATATAAGAACACTTTGCAAAACTGTCTTTGAAACGCCCTAAAAATGTATTGCGATAGTCTTAGCTGCACATCCACCGTAGCATCAGATAACCGCTAGGCAGATTGCAAGTAATATTTTCAAGCGTATAACCAGTGAGTTACTGTACAGCATTCTGTTTTGGTACAGAAATGGTAAGTCGTGTAACTATAGTTTGTAAAGCTGACCTTAATAAGTTTCAACAAATGGAAGCGTACGTGTGCAGTGGAGTATGATCCATTTAAGCGAGTCAATCACCGAACGCAACCCTAGACCCAGTATGCTGGCAGTATGCACTCATTTTGGAATACCGGTCTTTGTAGAATGACGAACGCTTTCGAATTTGGGAATTCATTCTTGTTGCAAATTCTCACTCCCAATTAAAGTGGATTATCAGGTGAAATGTTCTTCCACTTGCTAAACACTAACCTAGCGAACTTTTTTCCGGTGCTCAATCATGACGTTGACGGGTTTGAAGTACTTGTGGTACGCTGATTCCGTGGTTATTCCCTGCTAACATTTATCAGGACTGGCACCCATATCCCACGTCAGAGACAACAGTCACATTACGCAGATCAAATGAGGTGAGCCAAAAGAGTGGAGTGTTTCTATTGGGTTGATTTGTGCATGGATGTTTTCTGGTACCGGAGTTTCAGAGTACACTCTATTCTGACGTTACACACAAACTGATGAATCGACACTTCAGATTTAAATGCTTTGCCTTCCTGCGAGTGGATGAACCCACCGATTTATTCTCTGTGGACTGTTTAACGTTTACAAGTTACTAACAGGAAAGGTAATCATTTCAGCACACACGCTTAACGGCGAGAGGTGAAAAACCCATGTATTCTTATAGTTAAATGTCTCCAGAGTTTTCTTTGGTCACCTGAACTTATCATGTTGTTTAGGAAAGGTTTACGGGGTGTTTAACGCCAACAGCATGCAGACTGTTGGTCACTTACACAGAAGTAATGATACAAAGTGTGCCTTTGTGGTTGAAAGCAAATCGAGTTTCCTTGGCTGGGGTCGTTTGTAAACTACCATTTAATTTGTGATTGTAGGGTGTTCCCTGTATACAACCCAACAACGTTTGTCAGAAGTAGTATATCACGTAAACTGATGACTATCTGTTCTTTACGCCTGTGGATGACCCCTTCAAATAAACTTTACCAGTCACTGTTTTATCCTGGACCTCATATCTTTTATCTTCTGACTGAGTCATTTAGCTTAAATAGCTGAGTTTTTGTCATTCTTAGTCATTCAGGCAACGGGAATCCGATAGCCAGTTTTGCCATTCGTGCAACCGGATGGTTGATCCAAAAAACAAGCTGGTCATTGCGGAGCACGTATATCACCCGGAATGTGCACGATGCCGCACCTGTGAAATAGACATTGGGTGAGTACTAACACAACTTAACTTACTTTTCACGTTGTCAAGAGTCTAATGTATTGTTCTTTTTTTCTTTATAGAAAAGCAGCTGGAAAAGTGTTTGGTGGTGTATTATACTGTACACCACATTACTCACAGGCAGGTGAGTAACGTGTTCATCCGTACTCAAATCAAATTGTGATTCGCGTCATGTACTTGACAAACCTCTAAATATCTCCCGAAACTTAAACTGAAGGGAGCGCTTCCATTCCTTATTAGTTTGAATAACTCTACCCACGATTCGGTAGCTGTAAGCCTAGCACAAATATATTCGGTATAGATAAGTGAAGCTAACGTTTCCATCCTTGCATAGTGTTAAACACCCGCGAGCAAAATCTTCTTGAATAATCTCATGTAAGGCTAACTGGATATGCGCAAGTTCGCACATTACCTACAGCCTGATTAAACCTACTTTTGTCTGTCTCTTTCCACCAGAGCCGTAGATCAACAGTCTCTATATTAGGGTATTTCGTAATGTGACCATGAATGAATTGTACGTTGCATTACGTGAGCTTGAGAAGTTAAACCGACTTTCCTCCACTGTTTATAGTTGCTGATTACCTGGAATTCCGTAGAAGGAACACAGTAAGTGTACCACGTTTTAATTCGGGTATGTCACAGTGCTTGGCTTCGTTTTAGTTACCCTTTTAAATGGGTTTCTGGTGGTAAACCTTTAATATTGAACCTTACCTTTTCCTTCCTATACTGGTAGGTTTTTCGTCATCACCTATTTAAACGAAATAATTAATGCACAAAACACAACTTGACGTTCTGTCATCCATAGACATTCCCATAACTGGAATGTGCAATAAGCCAAACTTGGTCACCGTTTCCAACTGTATACACACTTTGCAGTTCATCAACCTGACAAAATATCTTGCGTTGAAAAGGCCAATAAGTTAAGTATTTCCCATTGAATGTCATATACGTTGCAGAATTTGCAAACTAGCTTCAATGAACATTTAATGACCAATCGTTGGATTTAAAAAGCCGGGTTACCTTTTATTCAACCAGTATTCAACGGTATGTGCTTCTGGAACTAAGCAAGCGTATGCGAAGGATACCAATCCTGAGAACAAGCTGCGCCACGGCATTGCGTATAGCCTAAGTGCTAGAACGGATACGTTTAAAAAGACAACCCCATCCGCCCAAAGCTTTCTTCAGTGTATGGTAAGGTTTCTCAGGGGAAATATCTCAACACCAAATTTGTTGAATCCAAGGAAAGAGGATTACCTCAAATACATCTGGGGGAGAAAGCTTCAAGTTTGCAAGGACCAGGTACTTTGTATGATCAGTTTTAAGATTTTACAGTCTATATTTATTTTCTCGAATAATTTTGGACACAAGGACGATCAAGTCGCGTTGTTCTATGCCGCAATGCCAATTTGTCAGACTTTCAAAAAGTGTTAACATGAGCCGTGTACATTTTCGACGCTGATCCATCCCCTCATGAGTACAGGCTTGTAAACAATTTCTAGGCAGGAAGTTGCCTTTCAAATCACGTTAGTTTGTCGAAACCAACAAGAAACTTGCAATGATTTGACGTCAAACGACTTGTCATCCAACACACTTCTACCGAAACCAAGAAGGCCACATCACATTCCACTGAAATTTCCCTATAAACTCATCATTTATGCTAAATTTTGGAGGAGTGTACTAGGTTTATAAATATTAGGCATATAGTTTAAAATAAGTGGAGCCTCTACTCGGCCACTGTATGACTTATGACGTGACAGACTTCTGCAAAACCCTGGCATTGTAATCGGTAGTTGTGAGGGTTCTATGTTTGTTCGTACATTGTTCATGAGTATTCCGTCACTGTCTGAAACAGGTTAGGTTTCGCATCGTGTGTCATCAACGGTCATCAATGTCAGGTTTTTGGCTCACTCTGCAGCTGGAATTAAGCAAACGCATAGGTACTGTGGATTAAATTCCCAAAACACCCAACTACTCTAGTGCTCTGGTATAGATTTCGTCCTATGCTGAAAACCTGAAAAGCGCTGTACAGCAGTTTCACCTCGATTAGGACCAATCACCGGTGCACATTATGCAAACCTCCAGCAGATCTCAAACCCGCAACCACCTGGCTAGCACCTTTAACGTTCAGCAGCTCAAATTACCAGCATGAATGTGACTCTCTGGAGTTTCGTAATTTGCATACTGTGGGAGAAAGTCTGTATAGTGCTTTTTTCCATTTCAGCATAGATAGACTCCATTGACACGGGGAAATTTCCACCGAAATTCCCAAACCGACTAAGACTACCAGAAATTTTGTGTGTGCCCCAATAGGAATTTTCGAAATGTAGTTAAATCATTTTAAGCGAAATTGCTGGAAATACTTTACTTATTAGAACGCATCAAAATTGCACATCCTATGAATCGCCAGGACTTTTGACACCACTTCAAGCACAGCTTCTGAGCTGGGTCTACACACTAACAAGATGGCGCAAACTTCTCTTGACAGTCTAGATCAACACAGCTACCCAGAAGCAACATTAACTTGTCTCTAGACATTATATAGAGCCACTCGCTCTGAACGTGAACGATTCATTTCATGTATTAACCTCTTGAATATCTCCTAGAGTGAAGAATCTTCAGAAGAAAGGCGTTTAAGTCGTGTAAGTTATTTTTCCTTCTTGAACTACTTGCAGTCTGTCCACATTTGAGCTCGCTGTTGGTAGTCATTATGGAAACTTAATGTGCGGTTTTTTATTAGCAGGCAAGCTCCGCACGAATGACTCCGATCGACGATACTGTGAGTCGCATATATGATTGTCAGAATGATCAGTTGTCCATTAACAACTAAATGAATTTATGAATGAAGTTCATTTTTGTCTACAAGGATTCGTCTATTGTGCCAGGTCTCCCTTGAGTAATACAGTCCTCAGGTGAAATGTTATGTTATCTTGGTTGGTTGTCTTATCACTTGGTCCAGTTTGTTTTGGATTTTTCCACAGAGCGCCTTCAGAAGATCTTCATTCCGTATATCTGCTCGTCGTCCCAGCAAAAATGCGTGGGTAAGCAGCGTTTTTGACGCTTCAAACTAGCATACTGTCTTAAATGCGCATATATTATGGATCTCTCATTGTCACTTCAGAGTGTTTACGATATGGATACCCAACTACCACATGACAGCTACAACGGCTCCCAAAGAGCAATTTCTCAGGACCGCGTAAGTGACTCTGAGTTACTTTGCATTTGGTCGCTAATAAATGAATAGACTCAAGGGCAAATTAAAGTTAGTCTGTTTGTCAAAATGTTTCACCCTAACAGGGCTAATATATCGCAGCTACAGGCACATTAGGCACACTTCCTTCGGAAGCATCTCAACGCCTCAAACTCAAGGCCGAGCACATTGATTATTGCATCGTTTGTTCTACAGGAGCCAAAAAGCTGAATTACAATTCTTCCAACTGTGCACAACACAGGATATTTGGTGTACCTTTTTATAATTTTACAGATAAACCTGATTAGCGCTGCACCTCCACCTCCCGTTGAACAAGAAACCACCTATGTTCCCATAGAGAAAGAAAGGAAGGTAGACAACCATCAGATGCAATTTAATGCCCACCCGGTAAGTAGTTCTACCTCTTCCCTTCTTATCATCTTACCCACTAGTGGCAAGCATCCTTCAGTGATATTCTATAAACGTGCTTTCTGTATACTATCTCTTACGTTTAGAAGTCCCCCTGCTGGAGAACAGCTTCCTCTAAGCCCTCCTTCTCAGCATGCGACTAAGAAGGGACATGGATCAGGTCAACCTAGATAAATAGCGCTAACTGAGGACCGGCTGGGTGCCGTATGTTTTCCCGAGATTAGTTCAATGGCTTATCCGAAGTCTGGCCAAACTGGCCATCCTTGGATCGGTTTCCCATCCTAAATGATGACCTAACTCATGTATCCAACAAAGGTCCTCCAAGTAAATTAGTCATTTGTTCAGAAATCTGGCTGTCTATTTATGTTTTGTTTCATCTGTCGATAAAGACCTATCTATAAGAAGAATGAAGATATGTCTGATCGTGAGAGGCATTCGCCGGCAGAACTTTCTGTTTTGTGTTCATTATCGTGACTCAAGGGTGGATGAAATGTCCTTGAGCTGCATTTCTGAACAAATTATTGTGAGGAATCTTGTGACTTCATTACATTTTGGCGGCAAAGTACTCCCTAGTTCGTTAATCGTTCATAGCGCCAAGTGTACCTTATGGTCAGTAATTCGTGGCTTGTTTTTGACGGAACTCAGTGGTTCTCACCGGGACTCTGAACCACAGTTAACCTAAGTACTTCGACTGTCAGCAACGCAGCTAAGTATCGTTTTAATGTTTGGATCTAAATTCCTCAAAAACAAATGCTTTGCGCCCGGGGTAACTGCTCCTTTTTCCACGCTCTACAGTACACTTTCCAGCTTAACGCAAGCCAGAGAATTAAACATCTACCTCAGGCCATGAGGGCACAAAGCGCTCATTCTTCAGCCGAGTAGTTGGGCATAGCCACGAACTCGGTGCTTGCAAACGTTTTTCGTCAAAACGGATATAAGATGAAAATATTTCTTACCTTGTTCTATCAGTAAGGGGATTAATGCTGATTTCAGAACTTAGCTCGGCAATTGTTTACTCCCTACCTTCTACGAAAAAAAGTACGGCGGAATTCGATTGAGATTTCTTTTCTCTTCCTTAAGTTCACGCTCTAGTGCATAGCATTAGGACCTACATTATTGGGTCGCTGACATTACCGGTTTGTTGTGCATACGTGATGACACTTGTTGGAACTTCGACTGAAAGAAAGTAAGTATAGTGGTTCTAAACGGACCCCAACCTTGCTATGGGATTTGATAGTTACCAAGCGGTGGACTTGGAGTTACATGTGACAATTATAAGGCAGAAATGCTGTTGTAAGACGACAGTCTACTGCGCTGTTTAACCTGGCTGTGACGCATGTCCACTTATCACGGTGCAATTTTTCGACCATTTGGGCACAAATTTCACGCCCATCAAGTCGAAAAATAACCGTCGACCTCACCGCATTGTGGGTACCAGATTCGCAGACAGGCGCACAAAAAACTACTAGCAAATTTCTGTATTTTCGCTTTTGGTTGATTTCCGAATAAAATGCTCCCAACTGCTATACAACAGAAATCATTCGAACATAAACAGCATAAAGCTTGCATCGTTTTGTATATTAGACGAATATTTTACCCAGGCTTCTCCGGAAGTTCACCGGAAAGAACATAAGGAGTCAAATGGAATGAACCGTCTACACAACCTATAATGAAAACATCAAAAAATCGCTGCTGTATTCATTCGTAAAAATCCGATAGATTAGACTACCGGTGACAGTTATGGCCCTATTTTATTCACTGAAAATGAGCTGGACCACCCTGACCTAATAACTGACTTTGTAGATCCGATTGAGCACATGTAGACGTTGTCGCACAATTTGTCTCGTTCGTTTAAAGCATGCAAAAAATAAACCGAACACTAAGCTGACTTTAGACTTATACAGCCTTAAGAGTAGAAAGTCCATTCCAGATACCGTTAGCTCCATTGGGAGACGAATTGCAACTCATCCGTTGGGTGTTTTTCGAAAAACGGAACAGCTTAAGCATAAGCCTCCTGGCGAAATGACCACATCTTTACTTGAGTGTTTGATAAAATTTGGTGGTGTAACGTATTTACGGATACAGATTACTGCAGGCGTATGGATGTCAAATAGTAAAACATGTGGCGACGTTGGAACACATTTATAAAAAATTTTAAAGGCGGCCATCCGTTACAAACCCACAACCAAATGACGACAAACCTGTATTCGATTTTAGTGCAATCGGCTTTCTTGATCCCTTATCTCAGTAGGACTTTCCCATGTGAGGCGTTCAACATTTAGCACTGACGTTCCTTCATAGTTGTTCACATGGGAAGACAAACATCACTGAATATCTATGGGACGAAGAGAGTTTAGTGAACAACATCAGTTTGACGGAAAGCTTACAGTTTTGTTTTTTCACCTACAGAATCATCCATCTCAATCTCTAGGCTCCTGTGCTGTTTGCGGCAAGTCCGTATTCCCAACAAACTACGTACCATTGTCCGGTCGTCTCTACCATTTCTACTGTCTGCAGTGCCACACGTGTGGTCGAAACCTCAGGTGAGATGAAACTTATAGCTCTCCACACTTTAGACTGTCATCTAATATGTGTTAATGCTGAACAATTTATAACCCAGTTGAAAGCATCCACAGGTTTCATTTCGGATTGTGGTGGCGGTAAATCGTTTCTTACCAACTGGATGCTTTGGATATGTATTTTGTGTGTCAAACATTAGGTGACAATTTTGCCTATCTGTGTGCAATCCTCAAATGGAACCTAGACAGTTTCGAGATAGTTACAGCACCACAGTCTGTGATTTTGATCGTAAAACGTTCTTATTCTACCAAAATACGTTCTTTGTAGCCCTTGGAGTTACCAAGAACTGAACGGAAGACCATATTGTTCAAAAGATTATGCAAATGCCATCAATGATCAGTGTAAGCAAAAGTGGTGATTAATTTGTTCGATACTGCCTTCGACACAGTGTGTGGTTAAAACATATTATAATGCTTGGCGCATTATTTGCATTTGTTTACTGATCTATGTAAGTGGCCAAAACGAAAAAATAAGAATTGCTTGTTTTGGTGTCTTAGATGCGACAAAGATGGCTGAGGAAACACGTGCGCCTAACTGGAGTGACACGGAATTCGTAAGTTAATTAGCGTGTTGATTACTGGTTCGTGTCTACAGAACAATATTTACTCGTTTGGAAAACATAGTTTCTCCAGAAAACCTGTGGTATTTGGACTAAAAATTTCAGTGATGATGGTTTTGTCCCGGTGAAAAAAGTAGAGGAACCGACGATTTATTTTCCTGCCAAAACTACGAGTTCTAATTCAACAAGTACATAGCCTGATCCGTATTGAGCATTTTCTCTCAACACAGATAGGCTTCAATGCTTGCTTAATCGTAAATTCTAGAATGCATTTATGCCTAGTATGACACCGTTTCAAACAGCTATCAAAGTTTATTTGAGTGAAGCAACTTAACGGTATGGATTGGCGCAAGATTGTGATAGCCACTGGATATCTGGTTGTCCCCATGAACCGACACCAATGTCTAATGTGTAAGCACTGTTATCCGTTTAATCTGGATTTCAAGAACTATTTTCCTCTTACTTAGGTTATTACATTCTCTGCCAGTCATATGAGCCTGAGCTCACATACTATCAATTCATCTAAATTAAAGCCTTTTCGCTTGCTATGTCGTCCGCTTGAACATGTTTCACTTATGAAATATCACGAGAAACTCAAAAACGGAGAGTTGTTGAGAACGTTTGCTAGCACTTAATTCTGAATTTCGAGAATATATACAGAATATAATTTACGGTACAAACAGAGTACACCTATACATATAATAGACGGCAAGGCCAAAGCTCGCATTTCCGTACAGACATCTAATCATGAATTGGGAAAAAAGGAATTCGAAAATGATTCGCCATTATACTAACAAATCAATCCAGAGCTGCTCACGACGATGATCATTAGACGGCGTTTTATGCAAGGTTTCCACAATACACATTTGTTTACCAAAGTTCCGTTCAGCTCAAACAGGTAAGCGTTTTGAGTCAAATGAAGTAAGGAGTCCAAAGTCTTGTCCGTAATTTCCCAGAACTATGTCGTCGATAGTAGTCAAATTTTGGTACCCCAAAAGTTTCCCCATAGAGCCAATCCGAGCAAGCTCCTCGACCACAGCACCACATATGGCGAACTGGTTGCGTGTTGAACGGTATCTCGTCTAGCTATACAACGATCAAACCTACGTAATATTCAGACAAAATTTCCGAAGATAGACACTCTGATTACGTAGAACCCTAAGGAGTTATCGTTCAAATGTGGCTTATTACTGTCCACTGACATCACAAAGGAGGGCAAACTTTCAGTAACCGTGACTATCTTCTACTTTTTACAAGTTATTAACCCTCGTCTTTCAACGGTAATGTTGATTTTCAGGTTGAGGTAAAGCTTCCTCTAGATAAAACCCGTTGCTATGTTTGCGGTCAGAAGTCGTTCGCGACCGAAAGTCTCTACGTGATGGACCGTGTGTATCACAAGCGGTGTTTCAAATGCAATGCTTGTAACGGAACACTTGGGTAAGCAGTTCTTACATCATCTATAACTTACACTTGAGAACAAAAATTCATCTCACCCCTTCATAGAACTACTTTAAATGTGTGATGCTACTCGCACCAGTTAGTACTGTTGCTCAAAACGGAGCACTTTGGAGATATTGAATCTGGTGTGTGTATATTTCTAGTGACTACGAGGTAAATCATACCAACGAATTCAGCTCATCATTGCAATGCGTCGATCCATAATAGACGGTCTATTTTCCTTTTTCCAGTGTTGAGAACTACCATTCAATTGACGGTCAGCCATACTGCAAGGCTCATTTTCGAGCAATACTCTCTGCAAAGGGTAAGTTGTTAGAAAAAGTTTTTCAGCCGTTTCTAGCAATCCGCGTTGAATATTTATTTCTCGTTCACAACTGTCCTACTAGGTTTTAGAGGCTGATGAAGGATAATTTCACAGACCGTGAAAGGTTTTGACGTCTTCCCCAATAATGCTTCGAAATGAAGATCCATGGACGCTAGTTTTGTATTTCCTGTTTTGTACAAAACCGACTTTAATTGTGTCCACAAAATGGATTTCAACTTTCACGGGCTATCCGCTAGGCACTGTGGAAGTGCTTCTTAAAACCGCTTGAATCAGGGAAATACTAACCACCATTTAGCGGTTGAAATATGCTAAAAAAAATTTCACCTTTAAAGTGTCTATTTTTAACAAAGCCCCTGTTTGGCTTGTTTTATGAGCTCGGTTCCAGAAATTCCCCTCATTCTGCGTAGGACGTTTATCTGATTAGAGGCGGGATTCTTATATGCCCCTTGTAATTCTGCTGTTCTCGATAAAAAAATTGTAATGGTTCGAGCGCTTGGCCAGTTTTCGTTGAATTCAATATGAAAATTTACTTAGGCATATGCAGTCGTCAATGGGACCATAAATATGGCTTCATTCTCCGCGTAATGCTTTCCTTTATTTTTCATCTACCCGCAGGCATTGAAAAAATAAGGGACAGACTCCATGTAAGTTGTGTAAAACTGTCAAGTAGAGCAGAATTATTCCAAGTAAATTACATGCACACCACGCACCTCAATAGTTCTCACTGAATATGAGAAAATTTGTACGTCTCGTGATGAGTTGGCTGGATCTTGCATGGAATGCCAACATCATCGTCAGGGGGTGGAGTGTGAGAATTTGTGTAAAACTGTCAAGTAGAGCAGAATTATTCCAAGTAAATTACATGCACACCACGCACCTCAATAGTTCTCACTGAATATGAGAAAATTTGTACGTCTCGTGATGAGTTGGCTGGATCTTGCATGGAATGCCAACATCATCGTAAGGGGGTGGAGTGTGAGAATGTATTCATGACGAGGTCCTATCAACCAGAACGAAGCCATTTCACGTTTTGTTTTATGCACTTTTAAGTCCAGGTCTACTAGATTGCTTGGCGGTTGCGTCTGAGTTTCGAAATTCCCCACGCAAAGCGGGTGCTTTACCTGACCCCCAACTACTTTGAGAAACCTCACAGAATCTTGTGCGGTCAAATCTCTTTCACAGTTTACAAACATAATTATGAGAGACTAATTTTGCACTTACAGCTTTTAAATTATGAGTGGCTGCCTGTTTGGCTCTATCGGGTATTTCTAGGTGGCTGCTCAGTGCGTAAACATATCAGCTTACGGGACATATCCTGAGGTGACAAAGGAAATACCATTAAACTTGTACGCGGAACGCGCTATTCATGGATCATTGCATATTAAAGTCATCTTGATGCGAATTCTGAGCCGTAACCCAACAACTACCGAATGCCGTGACGGCATACTTCTCAAACATTATTTAGGGGTACTCCCTCTACTTTCACGGTCTTCTTATCAGGAGGTCCATAGAGGAATGTTGCACATCGTATTAACCAGGCAGCATAGTGATGAAAATCCTGCAATTCCGTTGGCCTGGATTCGCATTCCCGTATAAACCAATTCAAATTGGCTGCTAGTCCCCGGCTAGTTATTTTTCAAGTCGTCCTAAAATTTGCACAAGTTAGTTAGCCTATAGAAAAGTGAAACAATATCTTTCAGTACTGCAGATTCCTAAAAGTACTTTTTTGAAGCGGTTTAGGTCCCCCGATTTGCATCATTTTGGTAGTTAAAAAAGCAAGGCAGGGTTTTGTACTGGGAAACCCGAATTCTTCACCCCAAGTTAATCACGCCGTGTGTTAGCTTGGATGTTGGACATTTTGAGTGAACCGAAACCCCTCGGCGATCCACAGGTCTCTGCCTAAAATCCGCTGTAGATTGTAGTCATATTTTCCGAATTATGACTCTTCTTTTAGAACTCAATTTTTTGGGGATAAAACAAATTTGTGCAGTGACAATTTTTAGGGCAGTGATAAATATAAGTGTACTTTGTTGTCTTTTGTGTGTCATAAACTGCGGAAGAAAAGAGCAATAGATGAGTGTCTGCCTTCTTTCTTCGCCCTTCAGAACTTAGGATTTGTAAGCAGACCCATGATGTATATACGTGTTGGCTTCTAAATATTTGAGGTAGCCTAAAATACACAGACACATGAACGCTGTACAAAGCGGCCTAAAGTTTCCACATGACACGATTGGCGTAAGGTTTTATAATCTCTTATACATTTCTTCACTTCCCACACAAGGATCAGGCAATGGAAATTGCGGACTTACATGACCAAGTTTCAACCATCTGTCAGAATTGTCACTGTCCTGTCCGGCCTCGCGACTGCATCAGTGTACTTCAACAATACTACCACTATAACTGCTTCAAGTGTGAGAAGTGTGGTCAAGTACTAAAGTGAGTAGTTGTTTACTGTATGAGTGCCACGGAAAATAGTGCCAGCTTTTCATTATTACCCGTCAAGCTTAATAGTTCAGTGCACCCAGGTACGCCATATCGCGCACAGGAAGGAACTATGTCCGTTTTACGTTCACTCAGTTGCTTCACGAAAAATGGGGTGAAAAACAGCACAATTTCACACAACAGTCTGTGCACTCTGATTATGCTGTTCATCGGTGACCAAGGCATTTCGCCATACGTGTACAAATGAAACATGTAGTGTTGAGCGAAAATTCTCTTAAGATACAAAATGGAATTGGAGGGCAAAAATTCTGAGCATCCAACAAGACCCTTGAATGGAGGTTATGGCCAATTCTGACCATAATTTTCATAAGGATATTCATTATTTCATTGATCTTAAAGTTGATCTGCGCGATACTTAACCTGAATGACAATAAGTGATGAAACGCCACTCAACGTGACATCCGATAAAACTGAGCCACGATATCCACATATACGCATCTTCGCACACGAGAGGAAGCATCTACCCAAGAAGCAGGTTAATATACTTTCAATCTCAGCTGACAGTCTGTCCCGTTTGTCCCATAAGAAGAAAACGTCAGTATATTTCGTGACAGTTGCGAGGACTTAGTGACCGCAGGGTCCAACGGTTTGTTGGGAGATTGAGATGGAACGACGAATGGCTAACAGCCAAGCAAAGGCCGACTATCCAGTTTCATAAGGAGTTGATTAAAGCTACCAAAGGTCGAATAAAGTGACTGGGAAGTGGGGCACTGACGGTTGCTATTCGTGAGTGTTGATTACATACCAAATTGGGAGTTGTCCTGACAAAGCAAATGTAGATTATCTCCTGTCATTGACAAAGAACCATCAGATATTACGCGATTTCGGTGGAGCCTTAGGCCACCGCCATCCTGTGGTGCAAGGCTCATAAATGCTTGTCTAAATTTCCATCCAACGGTAAACTCCGGTTGACTGTGAATTAGTCTTTTCGTGGTCAACCTTTCTACTATATACATAAGTAAGTTAATAGGCGAACACAAACTAAAGTTAAACGTGATTTTCTAGAGCAAAGCATCAACATTACTATTCCAAACCTTGATTTCAAACTCATCCTGAAAATGCGTCTTTGTGGCGTCGTTAAAATGCGGAAAGCTTTTGAAACGGCTAAGTGGATATAATCGGAGCCTCCATCCATCTGTTTGTCTTTGAAAAAGTCGGCACATCGTGTACGTTGTACACACAGTGTCGAGATGAATAACACTCCCGATTCCGCAATTTCCGGATAATTACAAACCGCAAAACGCTAATCTCGAAGAACAGTAAGATTTTTGTCAATTTTTGCTTGCCTAAAGAATTTAAGTGATACGTTTGGGGAAAACATTTTCATAAAAAACGCCTATGTTTTTGCTTGGTGAAGTAACATGTGATAATGTACACGGAGTGTTTCATATGAAAACGAACTTTCAGTGGGGAACTAACTGTCATCAACATTGGAAGGCCTGGGAGAGTTGTAAACAAAAACCTTTTGAAGTTGTTTTCACACTTTGTCATCAATGTTTGCTTCACTAATTTTCAGTATCGGCAAGTTCGAAATGATGCAGGGGAAACCGTACTGCCCCGCGGACTTCCTCGCTTTATTCGGACGCCAAGGTAGATCCATTCCTGTTCACCTTTAAAAACCATCTATCATAATTATATATATATATATATATATACAGACGAACCTTATGGTTGTACGGCAGTGAAGCATCAGTGGCAACACTGATGTTGCTGTCCTTGATGATGATGACGATAATGACTGGAGTAGGAAAAACAGTCAGATATAACATTTTCGCTCACAGGCAGTTTCAGAGGCTGGTCGGATGGATCAGCTCAATTCTCTGGCAAATCCGGTTTCTTGGACTTCCTCCATTTCCTTAGCTNAATTATGTATTCTACCAAAATATGCAAGTTCAACTTTATTTATTCAGCAGCATACTTTATCTAAAAAGTACGTTAGTTGTATTATCTCCTAAAACCCACTGCCCCTCAGTTTATGGTTTCTGCAGGATTTTCAAGACTTGTACATTTATTTAGAAGTGTATGAAGTTCGATTATTGGAATCCACGGGTAAAATGCACTCTGATATGCTAAGCTCCGCAGGATTAACAAATTTCCCGGAGTTCGTCATCACGTACCTCTGCCTATATGCTCGTCAACAACAAAGATCATTTCGACTGTGATATTCTTACATGAATAACCACATCGGCTGAATCTACGAGCCTGCTTCAAGTTAACCGGCTTCAAAAACGGTAAATGCGTTCTTTGACGCCCAGCGCATAATGTTTTGGAGGAAAAGTGCATTGATTACAAATAACGACTCATTTTGGTTCTGACCACAGAGTCTATCACATGATGTGCGATTAAGCGCAAAACATTGCACCAATACTTCAGAGCATTTTCGAACGGGACCCTTCCTGCTGTGGTAGTCTTTTTGGAATTCCCATGGAGGAGAATCACGCGTAAAAGCAGCTCAGGAATAGAAGTAAGTCGGGGCACTCAAGTGCACGCGCGTTCTGTGAAACCGCACGTCCTATGGATCTAAACCAACAAGCGACTTTACCAACACCCTGACAAATATTCCATTTACCTTGGTGTTTGCGCTTATCCATCACATCCAGGATGTCCTCTCGTCCTAAAATAAATGAATGTGTTAGAATCATACCACTTTTTAACAGAAGGGTGCTCTCACTACCAAGGTTTCAGCGTTCGTTGTTCTTGTTATTAAGCTAATTCTAATGAAACACACGGAATAACCCACAGCCATAAATAACGGAACAAATTACTTAAACGGGCTTCCGCTATTCCTAATTTAGCCAAGCTTATGAGCTGTATCCTTCTTACAAGCACCTTCTGAATTTTCAGAGTAATCTTTGTTGATTTCATTTTTTCAAGGCCCTGGATGAATGGCCAAATCCCCAACTTTTTTGGCCTTTTCCAACGCACGTTGATGAACCTCACCACGGGCGGTTAAGACTAAATTATTTTCCCGAAATTACTTTTGTTATTTTTGTTGCAAGCCAACCAAGTAACTGTGATTGCTTTTCGTTTGCTTACAATTCCACCTGTATCCTACATTGTTTTCTTACGTTACCCTCATCCACTTCACCCCCAGCAGGGAGATCCTCAAGACAGTCGTTGACAAATATCAGTGAAATGGTTCGAGAACGATCAATCGAAAGACAGCGCTCACTTGAAAGACAGCGCTCATATGGAAGACAGCAGTCACTCGAAAGGGACCGGTCACTTGAAAGACAGCGATCGAACCAGGCGCATGCTTATTTGGTTGCCGCCAGTTAGTACGTATGGTCATCGTACTACTTGTCATCTTGCGTGCTTTCATTGGCTGTCGGAATGAAGTAAGGTGCAATGGGTCAAACACTTGGCTTACGCAGACAGTTTTGGGGATGTGCACAGTAACTCCGACTCTAAAGTTCTGTACGGTCCAAAGTTCACTTAGCTCGTAATCTGAAATTCACCACACCTATCTCCATTTCCACATAAACCATTCGCTGTAACAAACTTTGTCATTGCCAGTTTCTGTGGGTCTCGAAAACAAGTTTTACAATGAGAACTAGTTTGGTCAAAACTGGTCAAAATATAAAATGGTAAACTCAATTTTTAAGCCAATAGCTTGAAGGAACTGCAGTACTCTGATCTGCCTTCTATTCGCTGTTCCATTACTATTGCGACGACATTCCCTAAGATTGCATGATTTAAAGATCCAAATGACTGTGGGAATATATTAAGCCTTTCCAAACAGAGTTCCGAAAAGCGGTCAGTTGTTGAGGAGGTCTCAGTTACGCCACAGCCATCTGGGATCCCATTTGAGAATTTGTCCACAGACAGTCAAATTCTATTTTCGATATATATTTTTCAGATGAACTACTCTACGCGAACACGATGAATTTTGATGAATAACGATTTTTCAGCTATAGAGATACATAGGTGGCTATCAAATACATCTGCGTTGAGCATCATCACCTCTTTCCCTAGTCTTATTGAAATCGCACACGGTAACTATCACATTTGACGCTCGGTTCGATCGATAGAACAAGACTTGAGCCAAACAAATATGGTCGATTGAGGGTTACATAGCTTTTCGTACGATACAAAACAAGCATGTTTATCGGAGCAACGAAACTACAAATCCCTGTTCCCTCATTTCATATGGTTTTTGCTTAGGAGATACCGGACTACTCTGATTAAAAACTGTGGAAAAGTGAAATTCATGCGCAGTGGATTATCTTTCACTGTTTTCTTTCAACATAAAAATAGAGGTTGGCTACTTAATTATTGCTGGCTAGTCGTCATAACGGGCGCCAGTCGACGGAGAAGATCGACAACTAGTCCGAGGAATCAAAGGCATATTATAAAGCGCGCCAGTATTCGCTCAATGTATGTGATGGCATATTTTTTCTATGCCAAGTGCCTGGAAGGTCCAGCAGCATCCCTGTCCGTCCACTCCATACACTTCATGCTTTCATACATCACTTATGACGTCAAGACGCGTAACAGTCAGCCAGAATTTTGTAAAACCACCGTGCGCTGTGCTACAGCTTTATCTCAGTATGAATATGAGCGTCATTAATTCAGATAAATTGATATCTGGATACTCGGAATTGCACCTCAGAGTTATCTTTGCTTCATTGTAGAACGAGGATGAACGGTCGGCTTTGACTCAGAATTTCTGATCTGGTGTTATTTTAGCTTTCCTCTGACATAGCCTTTCGCTTTCGCTTCATGTTTCACAGTTTCTTTCTTACGAGAGCTGCCTGTCAACCAAATTTTAGACTATTCACTCACCATAATTAGTGGTACTTTGTAAACTTCATTTTTCATCCTTCTGCTGTGTAAGATTTTTCGTTAAATTTTCGGATTACTTTTAAACATTTTAAGATAGTACTTGGCCTTATGTGAGTGATGAATAAACACTATTCACTTAAAAACTTTTGTGCCAGTTGTATCTTAGAAGATGCCCTATTTGGAACTGCGGGAGACAGCTCTTTCCAAAACGCACAAAGTCCTAACGGCCTATATCTGGCACCGTCCGCTTTTCGGGTACCCCCTAAATAGGAAACTGCAGTGCCTAACTAATTCAATATAGCTTTCGAACTTCATTCAAAATACGGTGTTTCTAGACTTCCTTTGCCAGGACGAGCTGTATATCTTACTGCTAAGTTACCCATGTATGTCTTCATGCTGGATGCAAAGGGCAGTATTCGTTTACCGTCATGCCCCATTTTTACTTTCCACCGCTGTAAGCGTTAGATTGGAAACAAGTGCGTGATATCCTATCCTTTGGGTTGTTTACACAGTCAGAAACATGAAAAACCATATTCCATATTCTGAAGCATTTTTGGATACGCGAACAATCAGCCTAGAAGAAGAAATCTTAATCTTGCATCAGGACTGCTATGGGAACGCACTCACTATTGACAACTCCAAATGAGTGAAAACAGGCGTCACTTTTAGGATCATGTAAACCAGTGACCGTCAAACCCCAGTCAAATCCTGGAAAAACGGTTTTAGCACTTTGCCTAGTGTTTTATTCTTCAGGGGTGTCCAAATCACCTGACAATGTGGATCGCCTCCGTGACAGTGTGGTGGAGACTGTTATATGTTCTGCCGTCCCCCTTTTATTGCCTTCGTCCCTTAAAAGTCTCGTAAACAGGGAACACAACAGCTCTGTCGTGAAGAAATCAGCGCAACAATTACAACGGACCGCGTGCTATTTGTATGACACTTTATTCGGTCCATGGGGCTGATTAATTGATTTAGCGACTCAATTGCCTGGATGTTTGCAGGCTTCACCATCGGGCATTTGCAGTTTTGAAGTTTCAGTAAGCTTCGGGCTTTCTGTGGTTATTTTTGGGAATCTGACCTGCGTGGGTAAAAAGTTCAGAATGAAAGCTGACAGTCGCACGACCAAACCCACCGACGTCCCTTGGTCAAAGGCTGGTTGAACGATTTTTACAACGTAAGAAAATTCTGTAAAACTAGTCGGGAAAGGAAACCAAAACAGTTGAAAATAACCTATTTAGTAAATTAACGGATTAAAATAAATACAGACGACAACGCAGCGCAAATCGTGAAAAGACCAATAAGACCACAAATACAGGTGAGCACATAGGAGTCAGCCCATTGAGCCTGTAGTGGTTAACGGCCCTATGGAGTCTCCAGTGAACTGAACAAACTAATAATGTAAGCCAGATACAAAGTCACAAGGGGAAAAATCCAAGTAAATCTTGACTCACAGTTCTAAATAGGAGATTCCGTAGTTCCTTGAACCACCACACCAGGAATAGTTCTATCTTCCTGGTATTCCAGATCTCCGGTGATCGAAATATATTAATCCACAAGTGTGAATATATTAGTCCAGTGTTTGCAGCTGAAATGTTTGTTCACGTTTAGTGTTACCAGCGGTCAAATATAGCCAACCGGCGGTCACAACAACAGTCACTCAGCAAAAGTCTCAAAGTCACGTTGGAGCCAACGAGCGGGCGGTAGCGGTTGTATTTCAGTAAAACGAACTTTTGTACAGCGATGTGACTTATAATGACGGGGAAAAAGATGATACGGAGATGAAAAAGAAGCAGTTTACAAGTGCTACAGAACTCCCACCCTAGAGCGTCAAATGGGTAAGCAAGACGCTCGAAAAGGAAATGCGTCACGACAGTTAGTCTTTGAAACGAACAGGAAGTTCGCAATGTCGATCTTGTGAGTGAAGGAGTGTGTCTGGTATTAATAGTGGCACTGGTCGAAACTGTAAGCGGATGGGGTTTACTTCCTGCTCAGCTGCTCGCTGGTGACTTCTCCTCTGCCGTGAACGTTAGGCCTGAAATCTAAAAACCAAGCTGGGCAAGTAGATCAACGGCAACTTGAGCAACCGTCACCAAAACACCCTATCTACCATTATTTGAACTCATTCTCGAACTGACGGATTGAAAGTACGCAAGGCCGATTGAAAAAATCCTCATCAGCTTTCTTTATCACCGCCATTTTCCTCCTAATCCGCTCAACAAGCCCTTATTAAAATCGCATAGCCGTGCTGTAAGGAAGTAATATTTGCAATCTCATTAGAACATCGCAGTTGGCGCCACCGTCACCCAAGAGTCACTCAGAAAGTGAATGCTTAATCTCTGCCCGAGTTTTGGACATGAGGGGTACTTTTAGGCCTCTTGATTGTTTTAATTCATGTTGCTTGACAGAATGCTGACGGGCCGATCAAAATCAAGCCGATATATATTCATAAACATCCAACAGGTTACACAGGTTTTGTTGACAAAACCTCTTTAATCCAGGTTTGGAGCATATTTCGTGGTTTGTGTCACACACAAAGACCCAGTATGGATTCTAAAGAACTGATTCGGGATTACTCCGGTCAGCCAAATAAACGTTTTATTACCTCATATCTGGACTCCGAAACTCGTGCGTCCAAGAACATTCTTATAATGCTTCGATGAGACTCTGCTTGGTCAAATGGATGCTGGATGTTTTACCAACAAAAATCAAATTCTAGCGCTTTCCAAAGACTATTACTATTTGTCGCAAGCTTGGAAGAAACTAGAAATAGGCAAAACTGCATGGGTGTTTAATCTGAACCCTCAATCTCCCGACTAATGTTTTTTTACTTGGCCGTTTGGCGCCCGGCAGTTTTACAGCAATCTGAATGACTCTCACTGTGACCATCATTTGGTCGAACCGAAATTGGATGGTCATTGTCTCTTCGGTACTAAAAATATCACCGCCGTATTTTTGTACTATCTAACAGCTCGAAACTCGAGTATCTTGTGGCAGTCACTAGATTGCTGTACTGGTGCTTACCAAGCTTTCAGATTAGGTGGCTTCCTCAATACTATAAAGGGTGGCTGTAATAAAACATACTCGGATCCATGAATATTAAGGTCAGAAAGTGCCACTGCTACGAGTGAGCAACAAAAAGTCTCAAAACACATATTTATGGCCCAAGCATCACTGTTAAGGTTTGTGAAACTGTTTGAAATCAAGATAATCTATCTAAAAACTTCATAGTGCTACAAAACACCAACCCTTTCATTGATCGGATATTCCATTTGTTGTTCAATCCAAACACGGGTTCTTGCACCAATTTCACACCAAACAATTCTAGGCGGTTGGTTTATCGTCATTTCCAGGGGCGCCTCCTGGAACCTGCTAACTTTTTAGCTGTAGTCCACCTGATTATGCAACTTTTGGTATTGTGTTGAAGTCAGTGAGTTTATTGTCTATTGATCAGGTGGCTGCTGATCTGCTCGGCGAGCTAGACAATCGGCTTGCAAAAGTTTCGTCACCCTACGTGGAGGCATCATCAGTGCACAGTATTAAACTGTGCCCTTTCCAAATGCTTCCTTGCTTTCTATGGGTAAGTCTTCCCCCTAAGCACTTATAAAAGCCGCCTTGGACAAGCAGGGATGTTTCACGTTACTCTCTTTGAATGGGTGGTGAGTCTGACGGAATGAATCATCGTACCTGTTGTGTGTAGTGTTAACTTAAGCTCAGAATTGAAAGTGCCTCACTGGACTCGAATGCACTGAACGGTGTTCTTTGACTTACGGCTCCCCTGACTTTATTAGGATTAATGCGGAATGACTGGTCAGATGGCGTTAATTTGTCGTCCGAGCATGCGCTCTGACGGACTGCAGTTCTGTCGTTCAGAATAACAGGTTTTACCGAGATTTCTCCCGGCTGCTTCCGTTAGGAACCTGGCTGGAGATCTAGATGTCGAAGTTGGGAGAGTAATCCAACCATATGCACAACCATGCGGTAGGTTTATAGTTGATACTTGGTGTACACTTAATGCTGAGTGACTACATTCTTATCCAGGAATTGAAACGGTTTCAAAATCATGTTGTTTGCACATTGTTAGGTTTAGCAACTATAGAACACAAATGTTAGCTAAGGGTAAACTACCGTGACTTTCCCTGTCCAGCGTGAGGCATCGATTCTCAGTGCACTTCCACAAGATTCCACGACAACTGATCAAACGTTGCAGTTGGCAGAATTCCGAATTATCCTCCAGTTAATTGGTGCGGTGATTAAAACAACAAGTAAAGATGAGCATTTAGCTTGCACTATTTGAACCTGCCGTAAATTTTCATTTGACCGCCTGTGTGAATCAAGTAAACCATAAATTTGACCTCAGAGTCCCCGCGGAATAACTAGTTCTTGGAGAATGCGTTTGGAAGTGTCTGTTTAAGGCCATTTCAGGTTACCCGTATACTTTGTATATTTTTATTTTTGCGTGAGTGTGTTCTTTGCTTCGGTTTTCGCAGTCAGTTTGCTGCACACAATCTTACCAACGGATTTCAATACTCTGGGGTTTCAGGCCACGTATTGGTAACCGGACCGGGTGACCAAAATTCGTCTGTCCTGGGTTTCGTGGGCTTCATATAGTTCCTTTTTCTGCGCACTTGTCACGGACGCGGTCATTAGATATAGCAAAAAAGGAGACAGCTGGCCCGTGCAAAGAAAGGACGCATTTGAAGATACGCGGGAAAATGATAGCTGAAAGGATGCAGGCAGTGGTCTTCCAGTATTTCGGATTTTCTGTTGGATTTGCAAAGTTTCACTATCAGGGAAATGGGTATTCTGATGGAATTACAAAGACACCGAAGATCACGAAGGGAGAGGATTCTCAATTTAGATGTGACAATAAACAGGAAGACTCGTTAGCTGATGAGAATTTCGGTGACATTGTTGCGCTATTGTGGAAGGGGCCAGCGTTATTCTATGAGTGAAATTACTACCACTATGCTATATTCTTGACCAGAAAACTGATCATGGATCAGAAGTAACAAAAGGATGGCA